CTCAAAGGGATAAAAAAAAAAAAAAAGAGGAAACAGTTAAATGAATAAGAATTATGATCACTTCCACAAGGTGGATAAAGTACTTAATTACCAGCCATAAGTTTTCCTTTTGTTCTGTTTTTCTGTCAGATTTAAAATACTATTGATAATGAGGGGAGGGGGTGCAGGGCATTGAGAGGCATTAGATTAGCAGGGTCTACAGCTGTGGTCAAGGGTTGCATTGTAGGTCAAGCTTGTTGAGTTTAACATTTTAGATTTCAAGCGTAGTGCAAACTTTACTCCTACAACTACACATGTCTGTGCCTTTTTAAGCCCGAATGGTGTTTTTGGTGTGATCCAGTTTGGGAGAAAGTTGTACTCAGCTGTGGGCAGTGCAGGGGCTCGTTAACAGTTACCTCCACAATAGCCACGATGATCAGTGTCAATGCTGAGGTCAAAGAACAATACTGGTGTTTTCATTTTTAAGCCCCCCCCCTTTTTTTTCTCCCTCTACATTCTTGCTTATAATTTTGCAAAGGGTTTCTTTTCCTACCTTCCAGACAGTCTTTGGATTCACTGCTGGATGAAACCTGCAGAGACTTGAAACAGGTGAACATCATGTCTGTTTCTGTTAAACTCTGCGTCACTGTTGGGTGGTACAACAGTACAGTAAATGACAGTTGACACCATTTAAGGCACTACAAAGCAACGGTGACTAACTGAGAAAAATCTGATAAATGCCAACATGGATTAGGCTTCTCAAGCAAGTTTCATGTTTCTGCAAGTAGATTTCCATGCTGTAGAAGTGAAATGAAAGCTGAAAACCAAAGGCTGCGTGGTTAGTAGGAGTCCTCCTCCGTGGTGTGCATGGCAGCAATACTACGGCTGCAAATAACAATTTATTATCCGTTTATCTGTCAGGTTTTTGTTTGTTTTATTTCAGCTAATTGTTGAGTCAATAAATTGCCGGGAGCCCACGGAAGTAGTTGAAATAGTTTGACAGTTTGATTATTAAAGGTACCTTGTGGAGTTTTTGACCAGTTACAGCACTATAGAGCCTGGGTCCCCTTTTTTGTTTGTATCTCACACTGGTGATGGTTTCACACTTTGCCACCGATTAGCTGCTGGTAGCAGTGACAAAAAAAAAAAAAGCAAGAAAGAAGAAGACTAGCTAGTAAACATGGACTCAAACAATGTAAAATGATTCTTAAAAAAAAAAAAAAAAAGGCTATGTAAATGTTTTATGAGGATGGAAATGCATTCAACACATTTGTTAGACCTTTAAGATACGGAAGGCACTTGAATGTAAACATAACTTTGTTTACAAGAAAAATCCACAAGATACCTTTCAACCTACAATGATATAAAAGAGAGAAAAGGGGAACCAGTCAATGTTGGGGGCATTTTTGCATGATAAATTGTTGCCAGTTGTCTGTTGATTGACTAATCATTTCAGCACTAAACTATTCTATGTGTGATTGCGGTAGAAAATTGGCAAAAACATGCAAAAGACACCTGAATTGTCCTTTAAAAGATGGCCCTTTTACCTCTCCAGAAAGCACCAGGACGGGGCTGTTGATGCCGACTCGTAGACATGAGATTAACGTCAAATACTAAACGTACTGATGTCTTAGTGAACCTAATGCTTCCCTGAATGAAGCCTCAGTCTGCAGTTTGATAAGTTGCGTTTTAATATCAAACCGTAACAAACCTGTGCCACAGCTTTATGTGGCAGGGCTGCCATCTTTTGATTACAGCTTTAATTTCACATTTGCACACACTTAAATTGAAGCTGTGTAGCGTTGAGCTGCACTATCATTTTTTTTGTCATCACTTAACTTGCAGACATTTCTTTGCACCATGTCTCACTTAAATAAAACTGGATGTCAGTACGGCCTCATACTGTATGTCATCACTTGTTCAGTGTGCAGAGCAATGTCAGCAACGTGCACTGTGTCATAGAAATTACTTTTAAAACAAATCAATAAAAGTTGCACTGTTTACACTTGGAAATTTCATTAAGAACTTCAGACTTCAGTGTCTTATTTGTCCACGAGTTGTTTTCTTAACATTAATATTAGGTAGTTATAATAACGCCACCTAGAGTCTGTTTCTATAAGCAAAAACAAGCTTCTGAATGGAGTCAAAAATACTACAGTAAATGTTGTATAATTCCAAGTAACATTGAGTAGATTTACATTTTCTTTGTGTTTTTGAGAAGCAAATGCACCATGGGCTGTTACTTTTATTTTCCATATGTGGCGTAGGTACACAACTGGTCTGACAAGGGTTTCCACCTTGAGAGTCAGAATCTGCAGCCTGATAAATGTGAATGAGTGAGTTAGTGAATGAGACCAAACCTGTTCCTTTAGTAGACTTACTAGACTTTTAATGGTATTTCTATAAACTGTAAATACCGTCACTGTCAGGATTTAGACCTCATTAAAGTTGACTCACACCCAACCAGAAGCTGACTTTTAAATCGTAAATACATTAGCTCATATTAATTTATATGTTAGTATCAGTATGCGAAAGTGCTGTACAAAAATGAGAAATTTAAAGGTAATTTATAAACAGTGTCTCCATTGCATAGACCAGACAGCATTGACAGGTTTCTTTTAACTGTAGTAGTAGTAGGAGCACAATTCTTTAATAGCCCAATTTAACATATAAAAAAATGCTTGTTTATGTAAATAAAGTGAATATTTGTGGATGTTTGCTTTAAAAAAAATAGTCTGGTTATAAGTTGAAGATATTACAATTGGCTCACTCGTCTTCCACTGGAGGAAGAAAACTTTCTGGTTACCTTGATGACCAGTTTTGGGAGTGATTACAAATATAACAAAGGTTTGTCATTTAATCTGAAGCATGCATAGACACTCTGACCTTTAGTTGTTGTTCATGTCAAGGCCTAAAAACACTGGATCCTACTTTTTTTTTATTTTGTTAGACCCACCCTATCTTGTCAATGCCCTCATCATTCAGACTCCTTGCTACCAACCCCCCGATGACACCAATAGGGTTATTTTCTTATACCTGACAAATCTCCACCAGAAGACAGTACTTAGAGACTAGACTCAGTACTACTCCCCATCACAAGTAAACCTTTAACAGCACCGTGAACGCCTCGCAGACAACCACAGCAGCAGCGCGTTGCTTTACCATTTATTTAAAACTATGTACAATATGATTACGCACATCCAGACACCTTTTCACACGTGCAGCGATGCACTTCGTTTGCATACTTTGCTTCCCTAAACTGAGACGACAGGAAGCAGCAGCAGCGGACCAGCTGACTGTCTGCTACACATGATGACACAACAGGTACAGGTTTCATGCTGTGTTGCTGCTGCATGCTTCAGTTCACAATGTTGTTCCATCTAGATGACACTGACAAACTAAAACTATAAAGGCAAAGCAAGATGGACTGGCCCCAGCTGAGGAACTTAAAAATAAAAACCCTACATGTTCTATATTATGAAGCTGCAGTGTTGAAACTATGAGGGATTTTCACACATGAGGCACCCACACAAACAAAGGACAGCTTTGCAACTTGCTTCAACTCTTTTTGGCAGTTACACAAGGCAAAATATCATCTTTGTTCACTCTTAAAATGACAAAGAACTACACGGTTTTGCAGCAGTTCCAGGCAGTTAATGGTTTCAACATATTACAGAATAGTGTAGGTGTCAATAAATAACTTCTCTTAAAACACAACCAGCACATCATCATGCTCTCTGAAAAATAGAAATGCATAAAGGCTCCAAACTACTAGATAACGTGACATGTTGCACTGGAGGGATGATTTCAGATAAGTGCCAGTATCTACTGTAATGTTTTCAACATGCACAAATATTAAATCATACAGAGCAGACACAAAAAGAATGATTTCAGATCTCAATCTCTCCGGTACCTCAATACATTGCAATGGATCCTAAACTAAAGAATACCTGTATCAAAGGCAGGGCTGCTCTCCTTTCACTTATTATTCACTTCAGTCCGTTCAAACTGCAGTATGAGATGGTGAATGATGAAGCACTGATTATCAGTCATTTCTCCCTTGGATGAATTTGAACAATCTCTTCATGCGTGGAGCTATTGCATGATGTAATAACTCTTGACAGTTGAAAGTAAACGGATGCATCATCACACAGTGGCAGGAGAGATGCCGAGGGGATGAAGAGCTATGATTACACTTGTCACTTCAAAGCAGCTTTTACCTTCACATGGTGCTAACCAGTTATCGGTCCACTTGTTTAAATGAGACTGTGTAAAGAAATACAGTCAGATGAGACAATATATGTGTGCATGTACAATATTAAGCTATATAGGCAGCAGCCAGTTAGATTAGCCTAGCATGAAAACGGCTCTGTGCAGAGTATGGATGAGCGAGTGCACGATTATCCGTATCTCTTCAATTATCTTTACTTGAATCTATACTCTGAATGGGCGGGACTAACCAGAAGTTGATATGGGTCGTTATATTTATTAGAAAACTATTTCCAGAACAGCCTCAGAATTGAGATTCTGAGTAAGAGAAGTATTTGTTTAAAATAGAAGTTGTAGATCAGATTTTTTCTGTTGGAGCAACAAAATGCTTTTCACATATGCAGTAGTACTCCTCAGGACCTATTAACATACTAATGCAATACTTAACAATATGTACTGTTCCCCTTTGAATAAATATTGGTGCTAATAACGCGGCTGGAGGTAGTCAGGCTCAGGCTGTGGAGAGTGAGCTGGACACGGTCACAGGATACAGATGTAAAATCCATTCAGGTGATGAAGGCGTGTGAGCTCACAAAATGTGTGGGTTTTAATCTAAAAGAAGCACATCAAAATGACAAGTGTAACTACAGCTAAGGTTCGCCTCAACACGACAAACAAGTGTTTAACTAATAACGTTGCACTTTGAGAACACGGAGTTATACTTTGGGTACAGACACTAAATGTATTTTAATTGACTGTTAGAAGCACCTGCTGCTTTGTTGATTGACATTAATGGATTCTTTAGTCTGAAAAACTTTTATAATTTACCTTTAATGTAATGCAGAGGACTGCTGGTTGTAGTAGGAGACATCTTTATGTAGGAAGCTTAGTGATACAAGCAACAGCAAAAAGGGATTTCACATTTTCCACATAATAAAAGTTGACTGAATAAGGAGAAAATTGTACTTTTTGCAAAAGGCAAATTTGATTAAAAGAAATATTAACAGAACTTTAATTTACACAAGAGTGTTTGGCCCCAATAAGAAATATGGGCAACTGACATCAATTCTGCAAATTTCTGCAATTCACAAAATTAGACAATTTACCTGGATGTTTGGGAAAAAACAGCTGCATTGCACCCTAAAAACACCAATGTATTCATGCTGTAGTACCTAGCACCGTGTTAGCCTTTCTTGGCAGGATCCATTTCCTCTCGGCTCAAGTCCTCGATGAAAGAAATGTGCCCCTCGGTACACTCCAACAGTAAAACACACAAAAGAAACAATGTTCAAAGGTCGTCTAGGGTACAATATCCTTGCTGAGTGAATGTCACCACTTCCTCTGCTTGTTTTGACTGTCTTGTGAGGAGAAACGCTGCTGCTGAAAATGAAACAGCCACGTGTAGTGATGGAGAAGCAGTTCAGGAACGGGACTGAAAACTGACGTTTCGGGACTCCCGAAAAGTCTGGAGACGTTCATCGAGCTCGAGCGGGCAAAACGTCAGCCTTCACGTTGCTCCGATTTTTCATTCATGCTGAAGACAAACAGGTGAAAGGATGAGGGCTGCTGTTCATGAACCTCGGGCACATTCAGCAGGCTTGGGACCGGGTAGCGGGGTGTTTCAGAGCAAAGTCCGAGCAACGTATCTAAGATGCCCTCCGTGTCGGAAAAAGATAATGTCCATCTCGGTGTCAAACAGTGCAGTGACGAAGAAGGACTTTCCTTCGCTAATCTGCAAGACAGCACAAAAAAAACTTTCACTAAACCTTTCATCAAAGTGCTTTCATTAAAATGCCATTGTTCTGGATTTAGGATATTTTACAATTAATGGAGATGTCCCTGATAAATGCTATAACTGATAACATAACTAAATAAAAGCTTCGTTACAAAAGAAAGACAGGAATCCAGTGATTGTTTGAGTCAGCAAATACAAGTTTCCTCCTCAAAGAACACACAACATCAAGCTGGGTATGTTATGATATTAACACTGAATCAAATGGCTGTGTGTAATGTGAATGGGACTGATGAATCGACAGATCACCAATATATCCAGCTTTACTGATTTTTTTTGCCTATTTCATCTCATTGTTTTGGTTTTAGAGCACATTTATTGGATGGTTCAGTCTTGTCTTCAGACAATACTGCAGGCTGACTAAGTTAGTGACTAGCTGGTGATGGCAGTCAAACAATTAGCAGCTAGTGAGAGTGAGATACAACATAGAGAATGGACTTCAATTCTTCCAGTGGACAGAAACACAACTACAATAGGAGCTTTTTGTCTTGTGAATTAAATAAATTAAACATAACAGCTTTATAATGATGATAATATGTTATTAAAGCTGTGTTTTTTTTTTACCCTTTGTGCCCAAAAATTATTCTAAGTTTAATTTTGTTAAATATTATTTGGAAATCGTTGTTGAGTACTTTAACTTATTTGATTTGGAAAAAGTGTCAAAAGATGGCAAATAACTGAACTAGCATTTTTGGAAATAAAAGTTATATAGTCATCTTTGAATTCTGAAAATAAAAAGTACAACGCTAGTAAAAAGTAATAATAATAATGTAATACTTCACTAACACCTCACTAACATGTATTCAATATCAATTGAATGCATTGTATTTCAACAGGATAATCAATGTTGAATGCCTCTCTCATTCCTGTTTCCTACCTTGACAGTGAGCTGCTGCCTCGGGCTCAGGCTGTCTGGCAGGGTGATGGTGAACCTCTCCTTCCCACTGAGCTCCAGTGAGTCCGCATTCTGGTCGGGCAAGAACTGGAGCGGCATGATGCCCATTCCCACCAGCTGGTTCTTGTGCAGCTTCTCAAAGCTCTCAGCGATGACTGCACGTACACCCTATGGACCGCAGAGAAGCAGGTGTAAGGCACAAACAAGTGAGGCATTAGTCTAAATTGATATATTATTATTCAAATGTAACCACTGCGAGGTAAGGGTCCCATGTTAAATGAAGTGTGGGTGCTGCAGTTTACCAGCAGGTATGGTCCTTTGGCTACCCAGTCCCTGGAGTTTCCAGAGCCGTAGTCTTTCCCTGCCAGGATGATGAGGGGAATGCCATCTCTCTGATAGCGTTCGGCTGCCTCGAAGACATCCAACTGATCAGACAAACAGGAAGAGACATGTTATTAGCAGTAGATCTGACACTGCAAAACAAGCCAGTTAGTCTGGTCTGAACGTGTAGAAAGTGACAATGCTAGGCACACACAATGCTGCAGCTCAAACCTCCAGCTTGTGCAGGATTGGTGTTTGTATAAGTCAATACGTAAAAAAAAAAAAACTACACAGAATCTTTATCAAAGGTGAAAAACTGTGTTCGAATCCACCCATAGGTTACTAGTCTTAAGAGGTTTACACTCACCGTCTGGCCTGAAGGAATGTGCCAAGTCTTAGGGCCCGGTTTGCCAATGAATCGATTTTGGAGCTTGATGCTGGCGAAGGTGCCTCTGGTCATCACTGCGTCATTCCCTCTGCGAGCGCCATACGAGTTAAACTCCCGCGGTGTCAGGCTGAGCAAGACAGTCACAGTGAGAGGTTAATAAATCTGACATTGCGCAAGGAAAAACACTGTTCAGTGACAATAAGTACATATTTTGTTGACCTATTCAGACAACAGACTGTACAAACAGATCTCATATACATTATATCTATTATCTATTCATTACTGAAAATACACACATACAACATGCAACATTTTAATTTTAGTTATACAAAAAACATTTTATTGAGTGGACTGTTTTTGAGAAACTGGATATCCACAAGTAACTTTTGTAGTTGTCATTAACAAGACACCAACCTGGCCATAAATGTATAAATAAATAAACTTTATTATTCCTTTATTATTGCCGGGTAACAACCAAAATAAGTAGTGTTTCTTAATTTAAAACGGTGATGAAGATGCTGTGTGAGTCTAGCATTCTCTAGTCTGGACTTCTAATAGTTTATCATGACTCATCATATTACTCAGATATATTGTAAACATGTCCTGAGTGTCTCTTTCATTCAGTGAAATAAGATTTTGTTATAACAGCTAATAGATAGACCTTGTGGTGAGATTGATGTAATATTAAAGTTCTGATCTTCCTGCTGTCTGATCTGAAACTGACCGTTTGCTCAGCAGGTACTTGGCGGCGGCGCTGACCCTGGCAATGCTGCCGGCTGGTGAGATGTGGTCCGTGGTGACTTTGTCCCCGAGGAACAGTAAGACATGAGCGTTCTCTATCGACTGAGGAGGTGGCACCTCTTTACTCTGAGACAAAAGATGAGCACTTATTATGTGAACTGCTGCTGTACTTACTCTGATATGTGAAATGAGAAGAAACTGCGTTACAATGCTAACCACAAAGAACGGATGACTTACCAACTTGCTAAAGAAAGATGGCGAACGGATATATGTGGACTTATGATCCCAAGGGAAAACCACAGAATCTGGACATTCAATGTTGTTCCAAAATGTGTTCCCTTGCTGGAGAGAGAGCATAGTGGGAACAAAAAAACATTTATAACATCATAAATTCACTAAATGAAAAAGACATTAGGCATACACAAAGGAAAGAAAGACAGATCATGTCCTCACCTCCATCCTTCCTCTAAGATCCTTAAAAATGGAGGAGATGACTGTGTCCTCTTCAGTCTGTTGGACCTCCTCCCTGGACGGCCAGATGTCACAGAGGTACACCTCCTTCCCCTCTGAAGTCACACCTGCACCGACAACAGGATGCCCAACGTTAGCAAAAACAGTATCAATAATAAAGCACAGCTGTCAACATCTGCTCAGCCATAAACACTTTTCATCACAAGAATTTGGGAGTGTGTAATATATTCAGACTTACAAACTGAACTGATTGTATATTAAAACCAGATTACTACCAGATAACACACTGGTTTAGACCTTAAACTACCCACACTGTTGTCACCTGTTCTACGGCTGCTGCAAGTCTGTACAACACAATGAATCATGAATTGTTCACTAAAGGAACATCATCCAATGAGCTTCAGGTTTTAGAGGAGCAGCTTAAGAGAGCTCCTGCCTTCCTTACCCAGAGGCTCCTTCTCAAAGTCGATTCCTACAGTGCCCGCAAGAGCATAGGCCACCACCAGGGGAGGGGAGGCCAGGTAGTTGGCCCGCACGCAGTCACACAGGCGGCCTTCAAAGTGCCTGTTGCCAGATAAAACACCGCAGGCCACCAGGTCCCCCTAAAACACAACAGATTATCAAGATTTGATTGTTGTGAGAGGCAATTTAAAAAAAATAAAAAAAATGTACCAATACCACTTTAGCATTACAGAGATCTCACCTGTTTGATTGCATCCACGACAGTTTCTGGTAACGGAGCCGTGTTCCCTACACAGGTGGCACAGCCATAACCTATCACCTCGAACCTGTGGAGAGAAGGAAGGAAAACAGTGTTTGTGAGAAAATTAAATCATTCAGAATTATTTTGTGGCCGTGTCTTTTCTCTTACTATGATTATTATGAACATTATGCACCAAAATACCTAAAATCTACCCCACAAAACTAAGCAACCCAATTTAGTAAATCACTAGTCTCACATTTTCTAGTTACTAATAACTTTAGACACAAGCTTATTGTTGGATTTTATATTCGGTGCAACACACTCCAGAAGAACAGAATTTATGGTAGAGAGGGTACAATCTACTGTATGATTACAACTACAAAAAGTTTATATCGTTCAATTTTTGTTGAGAGAGGAGTTCATTACACTGTGTGGGCATTTTGGAGGATGTAGTTTGTGGTGCTTACAAAGTGTACTGCATTACACAAAGAGGTGTTTCTGGTGCCCTCACTGATATAAAAGGACTTGAACTGCATATGCAGGTTCATCCCAGGTCACTGCCCTGGTGTTAAAAGGGGTAATCTGTGTGTGTCCTTCCCCCATCCTTACCCCAGCTGGCTAAAGTACGGCAGGACTCCACTGGTATTGAGGTAGTGAGTGACCATGCCACTTCCAGGAGCCAGGCTAGTCCGAATATAAGGCTTGACGACAAGCCCGGCCTCCACAGCCTTCTTGGCCAGTAGACCTGTCAATCACGAAAACAGCTGCGTTATGCAAATGTGCCTGTGGTAAGAAGCCACACAGAGAAGTGAAGTATCACAAAGCAGAATACTACTTTTTGTAAGTAACAGAAAAGAGAAAATGTGTAATCTACAATAAGGTGAGAGTGCAACTATAATTAGATTCATGCTGGAAGGAATGTATGTATGTAAAGTATGTAAATTCAAATGTGACACCAAAAAGATGAGATGACTAGATGACATTCAGGAATATCTTCATCTTGTCACTCAGGGCTTTACCTGCAGTCAGCATGACAGACGGGTTGCAGTTGTTGGTGCAGCTGATAACAGCAGCAATGACCACCGAGCCGTGGGCCAGCTGATACTCTTGACCGCAGTGCAGGAAAGGAACCAGGATGTCCTGCTTCTCCTTAGAGATGTGGAAGCCTTTGAAGCCAACCTGCAGGGAAACCGAGGAAAGCAAATTCCTTGTTAGATAACGGTGAGATAACATAAAAATGTCAACAATGTATCGCCGGGATAACCGTGAACCTAACCCCAAATATCTGACTAAGTTATACTGAAGACTGGCAGAATTTTTATTGTGTTTTTTTTATGTTACCTTCTCATCAAGACAACTCTGGAAGTCTTCTTTCATGCTGCTCACTGCCACTCTGTCCTGTGGCCTCTTGGGTCCGCTCACGTAGGGCGCCATGGAACTCAGGTTGATCTCAATCACCTGCACGTGGATGAATGGTTTTAAATTTGCTTAATTTACGAAAATCAATACCTTTACTGCTGCACCTCTGGTTAATTTTTGCAAATATGGCTAACATGAGGCAATTTTAATCATCATAACACAAAAAGGGGAATTTAAAAATCTCTTTTATTCTGCCTAATCAAGCAAAATGGAAAAAATAAATTAAAAAATTATGATAAATTTATATCTATCTACTGTCAGGCGCTGCAGCTTTGACTTTCACTCATCTATCTGTTTATCCTCTGAGGATTCACAACAAGCTTTGATACATTACCTCAGAATACTCAGGGTCTTCTGAGGGATCTTCATAGCTTCGTAAAAGTTTTACAGCCTTCATGTAAGACTCCAGCAATTCAAGTTTTTCCTGGGTAAAATCTGGAAGGAAATTATGACAGTTATGATTAGTTAACAACCCAAGAAATGCTAATTAACTAACTAAGTACTATTTCTGAACATGGACACATAGTAGTAAATACCCAGTAAATTCAGCTTGAAAATGTAAGAATAAATCCAAGAATAACTTGAGGTACTGCATAGACCACCATTTTGCAGCTGTGATGCAAAACTCTCAGTATCACTCGAGTGACTCACTTGTCTTTTTAAAGTGCTTGAGTGTGACTTGGTCGACGGGGAAGAAGCTGACAGTGGCGTTGTACTCTGGGCACATGTTGGCAATGGTGGTTCGGTCAGGGGCTGAGAGCTGGGAGACGCCAGGTCCAAAAAACTCTACAAACTTCCCAGCGATCCCAGCTTGCCGCAAGTGCTGGAAAAATCAATGCATATGATAGATAAGTACACAGTGAAAGAAATGTTTTTCCTGTAAACAAATGGAAATAAAATAAACTCCAGGGCTGTACCGAATGTTGTTTTTTTGTTACATTTCAGGCATCTCTTTCAGGAGGTTTTCGAATGAAGCTTTGAACATCTGTCGCCATCGCAGTGAATCAGAGAAATAAACAGCGTCCATGTTCAAAAGCACAATAAAGACCCACAGCCACACCTCCGCATAACTCTGCGGGAAGGAGCCGCAGCCACGCTTCATCCTGTTTGTGATGTGTCCTCTCTCTGCCCTGCCCTCGGTCAAACAGATACACACACCGGCAGCTCTTTATACAGACCGATGACAGAGGAGTGAGACAGAGACAGCTATGTTATGTGGTCGCTACATTTTTATAGAGTCCCGAGCTGTGCGGCATTCGAATGCTGATTTAGAATTTGAATGTCAATGTCATAAATAAAGCTTCAAACTATTCGGTAAAGTCCTAATAAATTCCTGCAATTTCCCAGCTTGGGATCAATAAAGTATATCTATCTATCTATCTATCTATCTATCTATCTATCTATCTATCTAATAAATTCCTTGCCAAGTTTCTTTTCTATGATTCAAAAATGTACAACTGTGAAATGATTCTTATATATAGTGGTATTCTTATTGTCCTCCACTGTGTGTGCCTCGCTGGAACATGTGTGAAGTCCTAATAACACAGAAAGTACAGCAAAGCAGTGTTACCTTTGTGATGCCGAGGACGATGTCTATGGAGGTGGTCAGGGGGTTGATGGTGCCCACCAGTTTACAGCCCACCACCTGAGGAAGTGTCAGAGACACTGGCTGGCCCAGCATCACAGCTTCTGACTCGATTCCCCCAACACCTGGTGGAGGAAAGCAGACAAAATGAAATAATTTTTATTGAACAAAGACTGTATTGTAGAGTGAATCAACAGAAACTGTCATTACTCTCACTGAATAGCAGCTATTTTATTTCCTCAACCCCTCGGAAGAGTAAGAAACATCAAACATGGTTGTAAATTAAAGTTCCTGTTAAGTTCACATAGGTTACAACAAATGCGTTAACAACTGCTAAGAACGTTAAATTCTTAAAAAGCTTTACCCCAGCCCAGGATGCCCAGGCCATTTATCATGGTGGTGTGTGAATCGGTTCCCACCACACTGTCAGGGTAGATGAAACCGTCTCTGACCTGGATCACTCTGGACAGGTACTCCAGATTCACCTGGTGGACTGCACCAACGTCCGGAGGAACTACGTTCACATTCTTAAATGCTTTTGAACACCACTGTTTGGTTGACAGACAGGAAGAGAGCAATAATTAGAAAAACATTTAACTTTGTGTCTCACTCAAGGCACAAACTCTTTGTTCTGTTCTCTAAAAGTGAAACGAAGTTCTTTAAATTTTCACTGAAAGCTACAGAATATTACCATGAGCCAAAATATAGACGTTTTTTGACTAATAAAACTAGTCTTATAAAAAGTATGAAACAAAACACTCTGTTTAACGTATTACTTCTGATATGAAGACGGCATTAAATGCTCCTTGTTCCAAACAAACAAAAGAATAGTTTGACATTTTGTGAAATACACTTCTCTCAATCCTCTTTTTCTTGCAGAGAGTTACATCAGCTAACTTTATTTTCAATCTCATTTCTTAATGCTTTGGAAATATTGTCTTGTCTAGACTCATGCCAACAAAGCACACTGAATTGAAAACAAGGAACTAAAACCCATGAAATGGTGACTTGTGTTTTTTTTGGTTTTTACATGGATTAAACAAATGAGACACAATAATACACATTAAAATAAGTGCTGGTAGGTGGATTTTGCTACCTTTACACAGAGCCAGGGTAATTGTTTCCCTGTTTAAGCATATTTCCCTGAATAACAAGTGTTTCTCTCCCTCTGATTGTCTAATATGATGTAATAAAAGCACATCTGCTCTTTGCTGTACCTTAAAGAACTGAAGCCTCTCTTTGTTTCTGGTCAGCTCCATTTCCTGATTCTTCAGAGCTGTATCAGTTCTGCAGAAAAGAACAAATCATGATAAAGAGGAAGTCTAAAAAGGGCCTAAACAAAGTAGTGACCTGTGATTCTTCAAGTTCTAATGAGACCTTGGAGATATAAAGGTGGGCAAACAAAAGTGTCATTTAAAAAAAGTTCCATTCTTCCATATCAGGATACAGTTATATCAGTAATGTTGTACAAACTAATGTTTCACTGCTTTGTGGAGTAAGTCGCGTATCAATAGTCCTGCGTCACACTCACTCAGACACAGGCTTCAGGTGGAAAGGGCAGAGGAGAGGTGTATTCTCGATCTGCTGGACAGACGCTGGAGACCGACCCGAGGAGGCTGGAGGGTCACTGCAGGCAGCTTTACTACAGGAGCCCCGCTGGCCCCCACACTGTGAGCCTCCTCTGGACAGAGGCCTGGAGGGTGTGGATCGTGAAGGACCGTGGCTCTGGTTTGGGCCGTCCCCTCCACCTGGGTTAGGAGCATTCTGTATGGCACTGTGGATAAAAAAAGAGTGTGTGTCCATCTTTTGGCTGTACGTTCTCCTTTACTTAAGCTCATTGTCAATATAAAGGGAAAATATAAATGCAAACGCACCATTTGCTATAATCAATCTGTAATGAGTGGTCTACGATGAGGTCTGTGGGGCATTTAGGGTTGACCAGGTTGGGGTCCATGCCATGTTTGGCCACTGCATCCCTCATGGCTGCCAGGTCCACCATGGCAGGAATACCACTGTCAGAGGAAACCAGGAGAAGGGAAATAATGAAACCCAGCCGTCCTTCAGGGATTTATAGGAATAAACTGAACTTGTTTATGTCAAGGAGCACAAAGAGAGATGATGATGACACAAGAGCTAATATTCAACCTCCTGGTGGGTCAGCTATTTTACCCAAGTCCTTATGGAACTCACGTGAAGTCCTGGAGAAGGACTCGCGCTGGAGAGAACGGCACCTCAGCTTTATTCTGCTGCTGCTGCCAGTCCAGTATGTTCTGGACGTCTTCTTCTTTTGTGTAAAAGCCATCACAGTTACGAATTGCTGCCTCCAGTAAGACACGGATGGACAGAGGCAGCTTGTCTGCACAGAGCAAACAGAAAAGGGTGGTTTAATTTCCCACAGTAAACAGTGTGTAAATAAAAAGGTCCAGTGTGTAGGATTTAGGGGCAGAGTGGTTGCAGATTACACCGTCCTCCCGTTCCAAGTGTGTGGTCATGAAAACCACGAAAAACTTTAGAGACCTAGAGTCAGTGTTTAGTTTGTCCGTTCTGGGTTACTGTAGAAACATGACAGACTCCGTGGAAGAGAGCCCACTCCCTCTGTAGATAACAATGGCTCATTCAATCTAACAAAAACACAACGATTCTTATGCTCAGGTGATTACACGCTAAAGAAAACATACCTATAAATATTAGATTCCATTTCTGCCAATAGATCATCCTAAATATTACACACTGGACCTTTAAACAGTTCACTGTCCTTGTTACACAAGTGTTAATTGAATGTGCACCGATGCAGGCTCTTAGAGGCTAAGTCAAGACTTACCTTCATCTACAGGTATGTTTACAAATGTTCTTCACACGTTTTATAAGGCCTTTTACATGCACACAACCATATTATGATGCTTGTATAACACAAAATACTGATAGATTTCTACTGTGCAATATCCAACTACATCTACATCGTGCAGATCTCATTCAAATGAATGCTACTTGCATAAGGTGTCAACAGACAGCACGTTTAAAATGTGTGTGCCTTTTCTTTTAGTCAGAGGGCCTGAACTCACCATATCTTGGATCATTTAATTTCTGTAGATTGAAGAACTTGATCCTGCCATCTTGCAGTGTGTCAATTAGATGGCTATATGGGTGCTCTGCAGAGGGAAAAAAAAACATGTATCAAAACAACTTTAATTCCAGCCAAGTACAGGTCATTTCCAGATGTGACCAACTCAGTCTGCTTGCAGGTTATCCAGGTTTACTTAAGCCCTGTGCCTTCTTATTTTACCAGCCTAACCTTACTAACAACTACCCAAAGGGGAACTCCTAAAAAACAAGGCACGTCTCTAAAAAAATGGCAGGAAGCCTCCATTTTTTTTGGTGCCATTTGTGCACATGATGTTTCTATACAATTGGCTTACTACATACCACGCTGTATTAGTGATTATTACTAGTAGCTGAGCTGTTCGTCTCAAGAATAGCGATGGGGGTGCACAATGTAAATGCAGAGAAAAGAGAAACGGAAAAGATCTTTCTGGTCTGACTCTTTCCTTTGAGGTCTTAAAGTGTAGTAAAGTGAGCTTATGCAGGATGTGGTTACCCTAAACTAAAGGTTATAAACAAGAAACTGCAGCAGCCATGCAAAAATATTTTCGTGAAAATTGTCTCTGGTTGTAAGAGAAACACAATTACGTAATCAGATTGGTAGAGACAGTAGAGGCTCAATGGGTGGTAGAGGTTTGGGCTAAAAGAGAAATGCTGGTACATTTTTTTTTAGCTGTTTAATAATGATGAAAATCTCCTTTAAGACTTGGTTTTAAAATGAAGCTAAGCAAGTGCTGAGCCCCTACGGACAGAGTAATCTTTTGAGTCTTGGCACAGCACTACTCACTGGTCTCACAACAGGACATCATGCTGTAACTCAGGCTCTTAGGTTACTAGCTTTGAAAGCAACACTTTACTGATCATTATGACACCAAAACTGTAGAGAGTAGACTGGCCAAGCGATTTATACAAAACTCCTCAGGAACAACAATGCAATCCTGCACAGATGAAAGTCAAGGCCACACACTTTTACTAAGGGAAAAGATGCAAGTACACATATAACAGAAACAGTTTAGTCCAATTTCTACAATCTGATAATAAACCAACGTGAGTGACACAGTAGGGGGTTTCATATGTTCTTCATCTGCAGTATTTCCTCTAAACCATATTTCACTAGTGGTGGGGCACTGCTGTTCAAGAAGAAGGCAAATAAACAAAATGCTGTTATTCAGCTAAGCAAGCAGAAACCAGTTTTGAAATAAAGCTTTTATAATCATAGTCGCATACCGACATAAGAAGAGTTTTTGTGCTCTTGATTCCACTGCAACATATTTAGCAGTGAAAGGTAGCGTGTAAGGGATCCCATTTAAAAACATATGCTACATAATTTGAACATGCAACCATTTTAAATGACACATTGACCATTTTATGTTGAATCTGAATAATATTTTAGTCAGATAATTCACAACCAGCTCACATATCTCTCCCATGTTTTGCTGCTTTCTACATAACACTCACTGAGATGCTTTTGTGTGTGCTCACCTCTTTTAAATAACTGTATGCAAAAACTAAAATCCATAATCTAATGCAAAGCAGAATGGAAAACATAGCAAAAACACTGTCTGATCACTAGTGAGATCCTCTGGAGATAAATCCTTATGTAAACCTGATTTCACTGATATGGAAGGCTTACGGAAATGTATTGTTTGGAAAAATATTACACAACTGACTCAATGCTACACTTATCATTTTCTTACGGTGGCCTATAAACAACAGACACGTTAACTAGCTGGGTGTTAAGACTAGAAATAACAATCCTTGTCTTGTTTAACCCATCTGTAACATACTGTATAAGTGGCGATGACAGTGCTGTCTGTGAACATCCTGTATGTGTCCCGATCACAGGTTATAGACAGCTAGCTACAGAGCTAGCTGAGGTTCAAGTAGCTAACACTAGTCCTTATCGGGAAGCACACACGCTAACTAACGCTAACTACTTATCGTGCTGCGGCTGGACGTCTTCAGGAGATAAGAAAAACAGCAATTTACACACAATATTAAGTTTAACATGAGATAGAAAGTAGGTTAAAGCTGTGTTGTTGTTTTTTTGGGCAGAGAGAAGGCGCATCTAGCTTGCGGCATTAGCTAATTTAACAGCTCCTGCTTAGTTGTAGAGCAACGCTAGCTAATGTTAGCTTTAGTCGCCGGTACACTTTATGTAACGTTAACGGAAAGCAAACAACGGCCGTTTTATTTTAGGGGAAACTCGTCTTTTCTTAATCGATGCCTGTCGTTAAGGCTGAAAGGCTGAAAGGCTGATCGGATGTAGGCTTGCTAGGTAATGTTAGCAGAAGACTCCTCTTTACCTTTGACTGGGGAACTGAGCGCCATGATGACTTCTGAGATCAACACGACCCGCTCTCAGGACCGCACTGGCAGCGCCGAGCCGACCAATCAGAGCGCAGGGATCTACGGCCACGCCCACTCAGAGATTACTGGCTAAATAAATATAAAAAGTAAACAAAAGGTAAAACTCAAGGTCCACTTATTTGTTTTTCATGGAGCTTTCAGCCGCAGCTCACAGTCTTCACCTCTTGGCCTGAGAGGACCTTGGGGGATTTTTATTTTTTGGTCAAGAACAACAATAATTATAATGCTAATAAATTCTGTTTTTATTTATTATTATCATCGCACACATTTCTATTTTTATGTTTTATTTTTATATATATGTCTATACATAATATACAAAGACATAGTACATAATACATATACATTATATATATACATTTTCTATCTTGTGTCAGATATTGTAATATGATGTATGCTTGTATTATTTCTATTCTTTAACATTGTGTGAGCACCTTGAACAACTGTAACAAACACATTTCACATCAATAAAGAAATTCTGATTTCTCAATGATGTCTCAACAAAACAAGCCACATTGTAAATGAGCTCATTTAGCCTGGTCTTCATTCAAAACGTCTTCAATCGTTTGTAAACACATACATGAATTAATTTGTGAACAGGTTTAGTTTGGTTTGTAACCTTTAAAGTGCTGTACTAAAAGCCACGTCACATTGCAGATGCACTCTATGGCTCTAATGTGGACTTTAAGGCACCTCCAACTTCTTAGGTATCATTTGTGCCAGATTCAAGTGATCTTGGTCAGATATAAAAACAATAATGTTGTCTATAAATATATATATATAAAACATAGTATATAACAAGTATATATATACTTGTAATATACTATGTTTTTTAAATTGTACTAAATACTGTCGTATCACTACACTTCACCTCCCATACTATATCATGATGCCTCATATCATATTATATTACATTATTCAAGATTCAAGAGGTTTATTGTCATATGTACAGTAAGAAACACAGTGGTTTATACGTACAATGAAAAACTTACTTTGACCGACTCCCTAAGCAACACAAAAATAGAAGAATAGAATAAAGTTAAAATATATAAAATATAACTTAAAGTACAGAACATTGTACAGTAGTATTATGTTAATATTACATGGACTTCCTTTATATTTATTATTTTTATATTCTATACTATAGTCTATAGTTATATTACATCTCTATATTAATACATACACATATTATTGGAAGCAAAAACCATGTTCCATTACTTAATCCTATCATGTATTAGTCTGGGTTTCTGTTTTATAGACATTACATCAGCAATAATAACAAAATAATACTGTATAACAAGGACATTCTGCTGCATAATGATGATGAGCACTTTGGTACTTACTCACATTTAGCTGATGCAGGACTTTTACTTGTAATGGAGTATTATTATATTGCTGTATTCCTACTTCAACAAAAGAACTGGCGTGCTCACCCCAGATGTCTTTAGAGTATGATGTGAGCCGACTCAAAAAACTACCAATAAGTAACACTATTCTACTTCAGTGAATGATCTCAGCAGGTCTGCACCATGGCTATATTTAGACATTTGACGCTTTGTTTGTTCATTGGTTGTTGAAGTACTTCCAGTTCCTACGTTTGCATCGGGCCATGAATGCATCATCTTTGTCAAATTAGCTAAACAAACCTCTTGTTAAGTAAATATAAGAGTTACAGCGGTCGGTCGACTGGGAGAGAGTCTGAGACCAAACTGTTTAGCTATAAATATATTTATATTTAATACATAACAACGCGCTGCGGTCAAACACAGCCCGTGACCTTTAACCTTTGACTATGTTTGTTCTCAGCAGTAATGGACGGAAGACATGACCCACCTTGTATGAGAGCAGACCGTGTGAGTTTAACGAAGCAGCTCAGTTCCGCAGCAGTGACCGTGGAGGCGGAAGGTGAACATGAGCCTTTAACAGGTAACGTGAAGTCGGTGTGTTTTCTCTCTCGTGTTTTCTGTCTCGTGTTTCTCTCAACTGCAGAGAAAGTGTCCGACATGTTGTTAGCTAGCACGGCGCGAGTACACTCTGTGACATTGCACGTGCTTCCCCTTTGCTTCATCAGACCACATTAAACATGTTTGATTAGATAATATTAAACGTTTTAGACACTGTTAGACTATAGTACACGTTTTGGACAGGATTAGACACCATTAAACATGTTAGACAGTGTTAGACAGTGTTAGACAATGTTAGACAATGATCAGTCTCAGGGTTATGAAACGGTGTCCGATTGCTAATGTGTAGTTAAAGATAAGAACAAATCGTGTTTATTGTGTTGTTGTCTATCCTCCTGTCCTGCACTGACAGTATTAGACCATAATAACATGTTAGATTAGACCATGTTAAACATTTTAGACAGTATTGGACAATAATAGACAATATTAAACATGTTAGATCATATTAAACATGTTAGACCATGTTAAACATGTTAAATCTCAGGGTTATGAAACGGTGTCTGATTGCTAATGTGTAGTTAAAGATAAGAACAAATCGTGTTTATTGTGTTGCTGTTTTTCCTCCTGGCCTGCACTGCTCTGAACACCAGCTGTACAGAAGTTGTCCTGTAGGGTGCATTTTATTAGCATGCTGGTCTGTGCAGAGAAACTGCCCCTCTCTGTCCTGTTTTGTCGTATTTCATGGACGTATTGTAATGTAATCGATATGTATTCTCACATGTCGCCTCTGCTCTCCTCTCTGTGGATGTCTGGTGTGTGTTTCTGATAACTCAGAAAGCTGTCACAGGTCTGTCAGGTCCATCAGTCTTTCCCCTTAAATGTTGTTGTGAGTCTGTGAATGAACCATTATTTTGATTGTTTTTTTTTTTTTTGTTTTGTTTTAAAACTTATTGAGGATTTAACAATAAAAAAGAAACGTCGTTGAATAATGTAACAACAACAGTATGGTGACAAAAATCATCTCTGGGCATTGTCAGGTGACTTGTTTGATTCACCACAGGGCTGAAATTATTTGTTGATAAACAGAGTAACAGAAAAGTAATTGTCAACAAGTTTGATAATTGATCAATTCATTTTTCTTTGTAAAGTAAATTTGTCCAGAATTTACTTGTTCCAGCTTGTTGTTGGGTTTTGTACTGGTACACGAACAAAACAAGCAATTTTCAGATGTCTACTTTTGTTTTGTATTTTTCACTATATTATGAGATTGTTTAGAACAAACAAATAATCAATTAAGTAAGAAAATAGTTGGTGGATTAATAAATAACTAAAATAGTCATTAGTTGAGGTCCTATTCAAGCCATTTATTGTGTAAGGGGCTTGTGTTGATACACTAATACATACATATACATGCCCTGTATTCGGCTCTGGGATCAGACGGTCCAAATTCTGAATGAATAAATTAATATTTGGGAGAAACCAGCAGGTTCCTACATCCGCTCAAAGAGCGTTACTAAGGCTGAATGTTCTTGGTTGCAGGTGTGATGGCGGTAGGAGGACTGATGACTGCAGATACGTGGCTTTAGGGGGGCAGCACTGCCCTAGCCGGCACCATGCAGCAGAAAGGTGCCATCCAGATTATCGAATGGGAAGACCTGGACAAGAGGAAGTTCTACTCCCTGGGTGTGTTTATGACCTTGACCACCAGGGCCACCGTCTACCCAGCCAGCCTCATCCGCACTCGGCTCCAGGTGCAGAAGGGGAAGGCCCTCTACTCTGGAACCTTTGATGCTTTCTGCAAGATCCTGAGGTTAGAGGGTGTGCAAGGCTTGTACCGTGGTTTTATGGTCAGTACGTTCACCCTGGTGTCAGGACAGGCTTATATCACCACCTATGAACTGGTGCGCAAGTATGTGTCCCAGTACTCGCCCAGTAACACGGTGAAGTCAGTGGTGGCAGGAGGGGCAGCGTCCCTGGTGGCCCAGACCATCACTGTGCCCATAGACGTGGTGTCTCAGCAACTGATGATGCAAGGACAGGGGGAACACCTGACTCGCTTCAAGCCCAAACCCAAAATGATGCTCGCAGCAAGCAAACGCAGACTGACTTTCGGGCAAACCCGTGACATTACGGTGCAGATATTTGCAGCCGATGGCTTCAGAGGATTTTACAGGGGCTACGTGGCATCGCTACTCACGTACATCCCAAACAGTGCACTCTGGTGGCCTTTTTATCATTTTTATGCAGGTAAGTTAAAACCCTGTTAGCTCTGGTTTATAGTAGCTGGTACATGCATGTGAGACTGACTGAAATTTTGTTCAGCACTTTAATCGGCAGTGCTCTTAAGTGAAATATATTGGCCTTACGCTGTTTTTTATATCCTTTGCGTTCACAGAGCAACTGTCCTTGATGGCGCCAAGCGGGTGCCCCCATCTGATTCTGCAGGCTTTGGCAGGACCAATGGCAGCAGCAACCGCCTCCACCATCACCAACCCCATGGATGTTGTTCGAGCAAGAGTACAGGTAAACGCTGAAAGCCACCTTTGTGCACCACATACATTTTATTATATTCACAGTTAAGGCACTGAGAATATTTGAGAATGTGAGCCAGTGGTTCAACGTGTACTTACCAGGAACATTTTATTCTTTGGAGGATGGACTTTGACTTTTTGGTACATTTAAAAACTGTCAAATGTTTGACTTGCTCACATAAATGTTTGATACAAAGAGAACGAATGAACCAACACAAAGTTTGTTTTAATCTAGGGTGAGCAGTCATATGTTACGAGCCCACAATCAGCTGGTGTAGAGAACATCAGTATATTAGTCCATAAATCTGCACAACCATTAAATAAATGGTTTGTTTTTATTCTGGTCTACTAAAAACTCAAAGTGCTTTACAACACTTGTCTCGTTCACCCATTCAAATACTGACGGCAAAGGCTGCCTTACAAGGTACCAACTGCTCATCAGGACCCATCTAAAGCTACGATTTGGGTAATGGAAATCGAACTAGCGACCCTCTGAGTACTAGCTGACCCGCTCTACCGCCTGAGCCACAGCCACCCTCACCTCTTACTGGAATTTCAGTACCCTGCTTCCAGTTTTCCACAGAATCGGGCCCTCGGTGCAGTGATCAGTTGACACTAAATACAGCTGGAAGAAGTTCCCTTTCTCTCTAGTTTCTAACGTTGCACAATTCTTTCTCAACGTGCTTTTAAGTTGCAGTGCAACAGCAAGCTGTGTGTGTGTGTTTGTGTGTGTGTGTGAGACACGTGATGTTTTTGTAGATTCTACTGGTGTTATTGGTTTTACTTTCTTGACACATCACTTCATTTCATTTAGTGCTCATACATTTGGAACAAAAATAGCAGAACTTTGCTTAAATTGGATCCTGCCTCTGAACTCAGGAGACAAACTTTTTAAACACCTACTACACCTTTTTAAAATGTAAAGTTAATTCTTGACCTTGGAAACAGCACTTGACAATACAGTCTTACTATAAGGTCCATTTAGTAGCTGTTCTGGAGCTTTTGATCATCACATGATCTATCTTTTTTAACCAAGGTCAACAGTGAACTTACAATAACAAGACGATTTAACAGTCTCCTGTCTGTCAAAGGTGGAGGGACGATCGTCTGTTATCGAGACGTTCAAGCAGCTGCTGGCAGAAGAGGGCGTCTGGGGGATGACCAAGGGGCTGTCGGCTCGCATCATTTCCTCCATGCCTACGTCGGTGCTCATTGTAGTGGGATATGAGACTCTGAAGAGACTGAGCCTGCGAGCTGATTTGATCGAGACCAGACACTGGTGAGAGGCCAGAGGAAACCAGGACAGCCTTGTGCCAGGCTTCACCTCAACACAGATCTGTGTCCAGTCTCTGGGGTAACCGCTCAGCTGTGTAGCTGCTACCACAGGCCTTTTAGATCAGTGCTGTTTCAATGTAGGTATGATGCAGCGGCAGTGTTTGTCTTTAGATACATTTGGGAGTTGCTGGTGTTATCACCTTGCTTTCTTTCTGTGCAGACCCATTTCTACTGGCCTCTTTTTCTTTCTGCTAAACTGTTACTGTGAAATATGAAGCTATAAGTGCCAAAACCAAATTGAAAAATCTTCAGATACAGAAAAGTCTCCCCTTAAAAGGATTGTAGATAACTCAAGACCCTTGGACCCCTGTACCAGTGTATTTTTTTATACCTGGACGTGTAGTTGTTCAGTTTTGGGTTTTTTTACCGTGTCATACTTTAACTGTACAGATGCAAACGTGTGAACACTTTTGCTGGGTTCAGTTTTTTTTAAAACAGCTACTCTGCAGTAAATCACATTATGTATTTTAAAGAGAATTTGTGACAAGGCCATTGTAAGGGGTTTTCAGTGTGCCAAACCGAATGCCTTGTTTGTCCTATTGAGCACGTCAAGAGCAGAAAAGCTTGTTATCTGTGTGCATTCCAGTGAAAAGAAAATCTTGTGCAGAGGTGTGAAACACCTGCTAAGAATCTCACCTTCAGTCTATGCCCTAAATGAGTACAAGATGTTAATAATAGTGTAAAGGTAAAAGAATATCCCACTACAATAGCAATGTTGTTAAATTGTACAGAAGAAATCAGTTCAGTGTGATAATTAAGACTTCCAAAAGTATATTTATAACGTGTTTGATGTTCTGTTTACTTACAGGACAACAAATATTCAGTTCATCTCAAGAGGTCTCTGTGAAACCTGGCCCACGTTAGTGTAGTTCGACCTTAAAGGCTTTCTGTACTGTATTTAGCTGTGTCCCATGATTTATTTTGTGAAGTCACTGTGGCAGGTATAACGATGAATTCTATGTATAGATAAGTTGAGCGGGCCAATCAGGCAGGTGTTTTTGCTTCTTTCCGTTCCTGTCTGCGTAAATGGACTGTACACAACAACGTGGAGCTCGACAGAAACAATGAGAAAAGATGAGATGTAGCCGAGGAGGTGTGAACTTCAATGTTACAAGCATTAGAGCTCATTTATGTTCCTCATGGGCCACTACTACTGTTGTGTTCTGTATATCGTTTATAATGTTAGGGATGACCAGGGATTAAATCTGCCATCATTTGGTTACAGGGCAGAAACTTAAACCACTGGGCTATTCTGCTAACATACATCAACACCAGCAGACACAATTAAACTTCAGAGTTGCCTTCAGGTTTCACCTAATGAGTGTGAGGTACATCAACGGGACTAATGTAATGTTGGGCATGAAATGCAGTTGGAAAAGATGCAGCCATGTTTGGAAATGAGTATTACTGCCACGAAGCACATCTCAGTGATGTTTCTTTTTATTCTGTACAACTCAATAGAACTTCCTCCAATTTCTGAACTGAATGTGATTTAATTTCCGAAAAGCCAATTTAATGGACCTTTTTTATGGAGGAAGTGCTACACCTGTATTTACCAACTACCTGCTCTGTGTGTGTAATATCAAAGAATTGTTAATGGTACAGTTTGATGTTTTAAACATGCAAAACGTGTGGATCTTTGATGAAACGTAATAAAGACTTCTGAATCACTGCAGCAGTCAGTAGTTTTATCAAATGTTCATTATAAAGATATCTTTCTAAAAAGCTCTACAGCAACATCAGTGTGAGGCTGCAGTGCTCCTGCTTGACCACTGGAGGGAGCACGATCATATTTCATCTCCTGACCTGCTGCTGGAACCTCCCTGGCTGGATGGTTTTCTGTCATGCCTACAAACACTACATACATGGCATTAGGGTTAAAACGTAACTGTTGCAATTATTGATTTCTAAAACACCCAGATTATTCTAGATAGACCAAATCAGATCACAGACATGAAAAAGATAAATAACTGCTTGTCAGGGGCTCAGCCCATAAACTCAACAAATACAGCAGAAACAAATGTACAAAAGAAACTATTTTATTTGACCATAGTGGGCCAGTGCAAAAAAAAAAAAGTTTTACATTTACATCTTGTCTCCTCCCTCCCAATTTCACCAACTTCAATAATCTGAGTTAACAGCTCTGCAGGTCCCCTCCTCATGTAGCCTGTACTGGACGACGTCCATCACATGGGGCAGTCGTAGATGTGGATGGCGCGGTCGTCTCCAGCCGAGATGATCTTTGAGCCGGTGCTGTTGTACTTTACACTCCACACCTGAAGACAACAGGGACAGGAAGGATGTGAATGAGACTTGAGTTACATATAAAAAAAATTACACCGACAAGTACAATCACTTACACAGGCAGGAGTCATCTCACATCTGAACACTTTCTTTTTTAATCAAGAACTGCTACAGAATTAACGGTTGAATCAACAACATAATGTCCCAGATAGTAAGAACAATAATGGCGGGACGTTGAAATGTATAAGAAATTGTCTTTGCTTGGAAAAAAAAACTAACCCTTTTAAAAGAGACATTTTTTGAATTATGTTTTTATACACTCACAGAATTACAGTTTGTTCTGTTATAGCTGCATTAACAATCAAATACAATTTGCTTTTAATTTGATCAAAAACCAAGCAGCACAGACACCTATGACCTAAGCAGACATAGAAAAATGCTCTAAATAAAAGAACAAAGAAAAGCTGAATCCTTCCTTGGCTTCACGCTGTCCCTGTAGAGTTTGTGGTTTTGCGGTTATTTCACGATGACACAAACGAAACAATATGGCAGAGTCTGCAGCCTCTGATCTCCTCTCTGAGGAGCTGTGCTATTTCAATTTTCTGGAGAAGAGATCAACTTCCCCACAGGCGTCTGCAACCGGGGATCTAATGACAGCTGGGATTATTGGTTTTGCCTGAGCTGAAGCATCAGATGAGGGTCATGTGAGATGCCACTATGTGACATTGGCCATATTGATTTACCATCAACACATCAGCACCTACAGCAGATGGATTTTCTCACTTTTCATTTGATTATAACACACTCAGTCAAGAGATGCGGCGTTATCTTTGTCACCTGGTCTTGGTGGTCGAAGAAAGTGTTGATACACGCTCTGGAGCTGGCGTCCCAAACCTTTACGCTCTTGTCAGACGAGCTGAGAGCGGCAGAGGAGAGAGAACATTTGACATGTTTTACAGCTCATCTTAGAATCAAACTTTGTGCTGTCTGGACAGAAAACTATTCAGCCTGAAGGTGTTTTAAAGCTGAGGTGTTGCATTTTACCTCGAGACAAAGTGCGTGTTATCTGGGGAGAAGGCCACGTTGAGAACCCAGGATCCATGTCCACTCAGCGTGCCAGCCAGGTTGGCATGTTGCCTGTAAGACAAACTTTATTAGAGCAAACCAATGCTCCTTTCTTTTCCCCTTCTGTAGTTTATATCTGTGCTTGTGAATTGAAAATATATTTCTAAATGGTGCTATTGACATGAAATTTTCAACAGATGTCTGTAACAACCCATGCAATCCACACATGCAAATAAACGAAACAGTAGATGTCCATAAATTAAGTTATGTGTAATAATGTGAAATGACACAGGGAAAAAGTATTGGAACACATGACGAAAGGGAGATGCAAAAAGGCATGGAAAGCCAAGACACCAGCTGAAATCTATCAGTAATTAGAAAGCAATCCTGCCACTTGTCAGTGCAAATTAATATCAGCTGCTTCAGTCCCAACTGATGGCCTATAAAAAGGTGTCTCATCATCACCAAGGTGTCACACAAGAAACATCTCATGATGGGTAAAGCCAAAGAGCTCTCTCAAGACCTTCGCAACCTTATTGTTGCAAAACATACTGATGGCATTAGTTACAGAAGGATTTCTAAACTTTTGAATGTTCCAGTGAGCACTGTTGGGACCATAATCCGGAAGCGGAAAGAACATCATTTCACAATGAACCGGCCACGACTAGGTGCTCTTCGCAAGATTTCTGACAGAGGAGTGAAAAGAATGATCAGAAGAGTTGTCCAAGAGCCAAGGACCACTTGTGGAGAGCTTCAGAAAGACCTGGAATTAGCAGGTACAACTGTTTCAAAGAAAACAATCAGTAATGCACTCAACCGCCATGGTCTGTATGCACGCTCACCGCCCAAGACTCCATTGCTGAAGAAAAAGCATGTTGAAGCGCGTTTAAAGTTTGTTGCACAACATTTAGACAAGCCTGTGAAATACTGGGAGATTATGGTCTGGTCAGATAAGACCAAAATTCAACTCTTTGGATGCCATAATACACAGCATGTTTGGAGGTCAAATGGCACTGCACATCACCCCAAAAACACCATACCAACAGGGAAGTTTGCAGGTGGGAACATCATGGTGTGGAGCTGTTTTTCAGCATACGGCACTGAAATATATTTACTATATATGCTGAGCATCTGCGGCACAAAAATTTTGTTTTGTTTAGTTTTTTTTGTATCAAAAGAGCCAAAACTGACTGGCAGGAGTATCCACCAATAGCTGCCAGCTGAACTCACACGTCATAGATTTTGATGTAGCCGTCGTCGGAGGCTGTGACCAGGAGCTGGGAGTCGGGGGAGAAAGTGAGGGATCTGATGGGCATAGCGTGACCTGAGGAGAGAGGAAACAGTCACTCAGTAAGCTTCCTCATGGACCTCACTGCTCTCTGCCTCTGAGAAAGTATGGTGGTCATTTTTAACTATTTTCTGACTAATAAACAAAATGCTTACTCCATAAAAAAATTATATAATTTACAGGATAATTGGAAATGAAAACAAATACTAGTTGCGGCACCAGTTCCTAACATTTGAACCCACCTTCCAGTGTGTGGAGCAGTTTTCCAGTGGCGATGTCAAAGATGTTAATGATTCCATCGATGGCTCCACTGGCCAAATACTTTCCATCAGGGCTCTAAGGGGGCAAAAATAAAAGGTTATGCATTATAAAGGTAATGCCCAAAGACATGACACTGGATGAATGTTCTAAAAAGCCTTTAAAAACAACCTTTGGGGCCCGGAGAGAAAGGGTTAAGAGTTAGAACAAAAAACACAAATCAAGAGGAGTTATTGTAAAACCATGAGGGTGAGGTCTCAGCCACCGACCAGGAGGACAATTTATGGTTTCTTACGTAAGCTATACTCAGGATGAATTTTCCTCTGGTGTCCAGAGAATATTCCTTCTTGCCGCTTTCCACACCAAAGATGTTGACCTTGCCAAGATGGCTTCCTGTGGCGATGTACTTGGAGTCTGGTGAGAAGGCAACTGACCATGCGTCAACTAGACAGGAAAGCAAAGGGACAGAGGGATGGGTTGAATATATCAAACTGATTCCTCTAACAGTGCCATCTACAGCAAACACAACATAATTAATGCCACCGTAGATTCAATTTATTTCAAATCTTTCTCGGCTGAATCCAAATATACAGTATATCCAAAGAGGGGAAAAAAGGTCTTTAATCCACTGACCGAGACCAACCACTGAGTGAAATGAAGTGTCACTAATTGAAGGTGACATGGCATTTAGATGAAGTACAGCTCGGTTCAAGATACACAACAACAACACAGACATTTCAGGGTATGGGGTTCCTGAAAGGTGAGAGTGAAAAAAATAAAAGGAGCTTGTTGCGCTACAAAGCAGAACAGACAAGCTGTCAACCCTGCAGGTTCGTTTTAATACTGAACTGGGAGCCAATTTCCTTTATGGTGACCTTATTCCACGGTAATAAGTGCTAGACAGTAAAAAAGCAGTGAAGAAACACTCACAACACAGCGGTAACAAGGTCAAACCAACTATCTTTTTATCAGAAGTTTAGGAGCCAACTTCTTCGACACGAGTCTGCTTACAGGCATCAGGGATTCTCTACAAAGGGAATTGTCTATGCCTGCAAAAAAATGGCTACTGGAAAGTCTCATAAATAATCAATAATATCTGTTAACAACATCTAAAACTGTACAACAGGGCTACAAGAATGGATTGTTTTCTAAATCAGTTATTCTGACAATAATTTTATCGTCAATTAATCAACAACATTCCAGAAAATGTCAGGAAATAATGAAAACTGACACAATTTCCCAGGGATCAAAGTGCTGTTGTCAAATAATTTGTTTGGTCTGACCGACAGTCCAAAACCTAAAGATATTCCGTTTACTATCACATTAGACAAACAGTAAAATCTCACAAATGAGTCTAAAACCGTCAAATGTTTAACAATTAATCAATAATCAAAGAAGTTTCCGATGATAACTCGACCAACTAATCGAGTTTTATCATAAATAAAAATAAAACAAATAAAAAAACATAAGTGGGAATGTTAAAGTCAGTCATTAGTTTAATTAATCAATCATTAATTTGATAAAGTTAACAGATGTAATTTAAAGGTGAGAAGTAATACAAATGAATCAATAAAAAACGTCAATGATCCTCTGAGGCCCGACCTTACCTGGTCCGGCGTCCATGGACTTGATCTGTTTTCCTGACTCCAGGTCCCAGAGACGGATGTGAGCGTCGAGGGAGCTGGAGGCAGCGATTGCTCCGTTGTGACTGATGTCCACTGACACCACCCCCAGCTGGTGTCCCTCCAGAGTCCACTGCAGCTCCAGCTTCTCATCTGACCTGCAGGAACCAGGAACAGTGCGACACACGGATTATTCCATCACGCCGAGTCAAATTAACTCAGCTTTTAAGCCAACATCCACGAGAAGATCTTAAAAGTTACGGCTCGGAGTAAAACTGAAACTGAAGACTCAATTCCGCGACCACTCCATCTGCTGATAACAATATATCAGTCAATGGATATCGAGTGAGTGATCAAAGGCTCCAAAATGCTACTAAATGGACCTTGCTGTGAAATCGTCTTCTCAACAAGTCTTTTTTTGTTAAAAGTATTTTTATTAGCTTTTTAGGTTATAAAAAATAAAGCAAAAAAAATAAAATAAAGTACAGTTTGATATATTTTAACAAACTCTCCTCCCATTACAGATTTACAATATTACATATTAAAACATAAGTTCAGTGGTAAATATGACAAAGGATTTATAAAAGTATAGAAATGGGGTTAGAAAAGAGAGGGGTACCAATGCCTAAATTAAAGAAATACACTAAAATAAAATCTCTCGTTGCATACATTTATTTTATAGAATTTTTATAAGATCTCTGATCCATAGATAGATAGATAGATAGATAGATTCCTTTATTTGTCCCACAATGGGGAAATTCCAATATTACAGCAGCAAAGTGGATAGAGAAAAAAAAAATACCAGTATAAATTATATTATTATATTATCACAAGAGGTTCTGGATATTTGTATCACCTCAGAAAATAATGTAAATATAGATCACTAAAAATGTGTTTATTTTGGGAAAAGACTGCGATTACTATTAGGATATATACTTGCTGTAAGTTTGGTCAATATTTAGATCAATAATCTATGTACATTCTTAAATTGTTCTACTTAAACAAATTGTGTGTGTCACAAAAGTGTGTTTTCTCAACAAGTCTAATCAAATGTTATGGGAAATAAAACCAACACAAAAATGACATCACTGTGGCAGATTTTAGCCGTTATCTACTTGTGAGGAACTGAAATTAATTGTAAGATTTTACAGATTGCTACAGATGTGCTTGATTTATAGTTAAAGTGTATTTACTGTATGCCCCTTTGCTTTGTTAAAGACTTCCTGGTGTATTTAGGACCTCAATAGAGCCAGACATCTATCTATCCCCTATAGCCATAACAATGCAGGCACCGCTAAAGAGGACACGAAGACAGGAGGGTAGTTAACTGTGCTCCTGTGGTCTCTATCAGTGGTCATAATCAATACCCTCAGTAGCAACACCCTCAGTAGATATAATCAATACCCTCGCTGCCAACGGTCAAACTCAGTTAACAGGATTTCCAGATGTGGAGTGAACACAGACGTGTCACTTTAATTCTTACAAAGAGCCTTTTTTGAAGTGAACCTCAGACTAAAGGCTACATCTCTGAAGTCCCTGAGAATGACTGTGCATATGATCAATGACAGTGTTTTACTTTACTTACTTTATTATTTTTTTTATAGTCTTTAAAAATAGAGATGTCTCGAACCCCTTTTGGTTTAAAATATGAATTTATTATATTTGTCTATTTGTGTACATAATCAATCATACTGATGATTTTTGTTTTATATTAAAAAGATATTTTTAAAGATAATAAATAAATAGGTAAAAAAAACAACTAATGATAATTAGTAAAGAAGAAAAAATAAATACAATATTGGGCAAGAAAACATCAACAAGACAATTGACAAATGTCAATAAAAAAACACACTCACCATTTCCAGACTTTCACCATATCATCTAGAGAGCCAGTGACAATAGTTTCCGTCCCATCCGCCTCACTTTTACCCCACGCTGCTGTCCAGATAGCGTCATCGTGTGCTGAGAGGAAACAAGCACAGGTTAAAACTCTGTGTCAGTATAAATAAGCCAGGCTGATGGCTGATTCTATTTTAAAAGATAAGTCTGGCATTACTCTATATTTTTGTTCTTGACAACACAAAAACCAATAATTTGTCAATATGACTCTGAATAATCTCTGACTTCCCTCCTCTGTCTGTGGTTCTGAGCTCCAGGCCCATTTGTTTCTACTGAACATGTATATCTTTAAAAGAGATCATTGGAATAGCTTAAATAATAATGGAGCTCTATGGCAAAGAGGAATAAGTGAATCAGGAGCTGGCTGTATAGACAATAACTGATGGTAGAAAGTAGTCCTCTATGGGATTTGTAAACAGTAAAACAGTTCAAATATATTATCACTTCCCATATACTTTATCCTTCTTGCAATGATGATCGTAGTGGCAATTATCCTCTATACAGTTCTCTACATTTATTTTATTTTACTTTTACTCTTATCTCTACTTTCTATATTTAGCTAAGAGTTTGTTGTTTATCATATACTGTATTTTTTCATACCTCTTTTATTTTCTATACAAGTGTTTTGTAAGCTGCTGGAAATTCAATTTCTTTGAGGGAGTCAACCCAAAGGGATCAATAAAGTGAAGTCTAAGTCTAATTACTCATCTTAAGTTAAGTGAGAACAACCAACCACAAAAAGACAAGAAAAGAGCTTAGAGCTGATCAGAAAGCTGTGTCATAGTACGACAGGGTACAACATAACACATGTTTTTATCTTTCTTTCTTCAGTTGATGGAAGCTTTAGAAAAAGGTTGGCATAATAATCTGTAGCTTCATCCTACACCTGTTTCAGCCTGCTTGAATCTTTGTTTCTGTCATGATCGTGGTTTTTTTCCGACTGTGGTATTGCCCAAATGATTGCCTTTATTTTTTATATATTGTTTATTGTCTCTGTTGTTGATTGCAGACTAAAATAACTGTCACTTCAAGTCAGTTTCAGTGTGATTTCTAGTGTCATAGTGAGCTCTGTTTACCCATAATGGTACTCACCGTGTTCTTGCTTGAAAAGGATGCTGTACTGAAATCAAAGCACAAACTTACAGTTCATCTTTCACCAACAAAACAAACAAAATGAGGTAAATATTGAGCGTAAATATGAGGCTATTTAAATGTGACGCTTACTTGTGTGCTCATTGTTTTTTCGTTCTGGGAGTCAGAGATCCAGTTCAGATTATTTCAGCCTGAAAAACAACATGAATGTGTGTAAACAGTAAACAGTCTGCTGTCTCTGACTAGTGGGGCTACAAACATCCACACAGCGTGTAAACAAGAGCGTAGACCCACCACAGTCAATGGGAGAACAGACGTATAAACCACAGGCTATGTTCAACATTAACAACGCCATATCTGTGTGGTTGTACAGATGAACAGGCTGCTGCGGTGATCGTAGCAGGTTAGCTGCATCAGGTTGGAAACAAAGTGCAGTTTCCAGATGATCAGGTGATCATCCAGTTTAACGCACTTCCTCTATTGACAGCTTATTAATTCATTATATCATTTAATGTACACCCACGTACCTTTAAATGTCCAAATAAGATGTTTTATTCAATGTCTGACGCTCGGTGTTTTACATGTGAGACGCCATGACAACATTTGTCGTAACTTCCGGTTTCGGTCTTCTTCTTCTTTTGTTACAAAACAGTTGGCGAGACTCACTACCGCCACCAGCGGAACCGTGGAGGAAATGCGTCTCTAAAGCGACTGGGCCGAGCTCCTAGAGGTGAACAAGATACTCTATTTGAAACTGTTTATTTAATTTGTTTAAAGCCTTGGTAACGCATTAATTTAATATACGTATAATTAATTAAAGCTGTTAATAATTATTCTGGTAATATATATAGAATATAATAATAAAATAATAATAATAATAATAATAATAATAATAATAATAATAATAATAATATATAGAATAAGTCAGTTTGATGGGTGTGAGGGAGAATCAAGATGGGCATGGCAACAACACTTGATGAAAGTGAAGAATCCAGTCAACGAGTAAATGTTACAAACATATATTTGTAAATGAAATAGGAAAAATTAAGTTTAATCATTTATTATTAAATAAATTAATACATTTTCAAGGACTACGGTAAGATGGAGAACACGGAACTGTAATTATCCTGTAATATTCCCAATTGTTTGATTAAGTGTTTTAATGATAGCCCAGTAGAAATTCAGTTTAACTAAATTAATATGATCACAAATTTTCTTCACACACTTACAGGTTGTGTGTAAATTTGAGATACACCAATTTAAGTAGTGCATCATTAAAGGTGCCCAGAAAACCAAAACATGATCATTATTTGACTGTTGGTGGGACTTTATGTGCTGCCTGTCTTTACTACAGTAATAATGGCTTCAAGTAAAACCTCTATGGTGCAGAGAGAAAGGCAAAGCTGAGCCTGAAGAGTGAGCAGAATAATATTCTTATATTTTGACAGATGCTGCCGCAGTACTCTGAGCTCTGCAGCCTCAAAAAACAGTCAAGATAAAGTTTCAAGAGAATATTTCCAAGTTGAGGAAAGCAAATACAGGAGAGGGAGAGGGAGAGGAGAGAGAGAGAGAGAGAGAGAGAGAGAGAGAGAGAGAGAGAGAGAGAGAGAGAGAGAGAGAGAGAGAGAGAGAGAGAGAGCCCCAAAATGATAAAATCATAGGATTATATGATCCTAAGTGTAATAACACTTGTAAGCCCAGTCTCTTAATGTAAACTTGTAAATCATTGGTATTTAAGACCATTAAGATCATTATTCTTTCCAATTATGATGCAAATAATTATTTTCAATGTTTAAGATATAATTAATTAACTGTTAAAACTTCACTAAAACACACAACAATGTAGTTATTATTATGTCTAATTCCCAAACCATCAAATAGTGACGCTTTGCATCCCTGTGAATGAGATTCAACACTCAACTATCTTTCCTGGCTCTGACCTGATGTTTCCATTCTTACAAATGCCATCAGGAGTACTAGGAGCAGCAAGAGAATCTGATTTAGTTTTTTCACGTTCTACTGTCAGGATATAGTAAAATCTTCAGCATCCCTTAAGTGCAAAGGAGAAACGGTGGCTTCGAAATGCACCCAAAATGCTTTTTAGAGCCAGTGTATGGTTCGTTGCTTCTGGGCTATAGAAACATGGTGGTTCAACATGGTGGACACTAGGCAACCCACAGCATCTGTAGATAAAAAAGGCTCATTCTAAGATAACGATAATGATTCCTATATTCAGGTGATTATACACTAAAGAAGAACACATCTATGAATATTATTTTCAATTTCTGCCAATAGATCCTCCTAAATGTTTCACACTGGACCTTTAAAGTCGCTGCTGTTTTGTTCTCCATTTATAGTAACAGTTCCAAATGACTGTTTCACGGCCAGATTAATTGTTTATCTGTGAACACGTGAACCACCTGTAGAACTTCTTTCTCAGTTTTTAAATGCTTGATCCAAATGCTGTTATTTCAGTAATGTTATTGTACTTTTTTTTACATGTTAGTGAGGGTGAGAAAAAATCCAAATCTGAAATCTGGATCTTTTCTTGCAGCCTTGACTTTGGTTTCTCCGACAGGCATGTGTATTTTTCCTTTTGTTGGTTCTGCAGGCAGTAATGATCATAGAAATGCTATTTTCAGCCAGTGATTAATTCGTATTTTTTAGGGCAATAATGATGGTGGGTAATGAACCTCATGTAATGGCATCAGCTGAAGCATGCTGGAAGGAGAGCAGGACTTCTGCTGTCTTTATCTTTGATATGACAAAATCAAAGCTTTGTCCTGTCCTGCACAAAACGATAACAATATTAATAATATTACTAATACTAACTTTACTAATACTAATACTCTATATTTTCTTTAGACGCACCAACATGAAATATAACTGTAAGAAGTCTTTAAAAGTGTCAGCTCCTTATGTAATCATCATTTTCCCTCTTATGGCTTTTAAATTATCGGTCTAGCCTGATTATGGGATTTTGTCTTGGCAGACTGTATCAATGGAAAAAATGACTAATCCAGAATAAAAAAGTGGTAACTTTTAAGATGAGGTGTCTCTTTTCTAAGAGGGTTTGAGTCAATTCCTCCTTTGAAAACTACTACACTTTTTTCAACCTTCTTAAGGAATGAATCGTAAAGTGCATGTTTGAATTTAGATAAGCGCATTATATAATGTCTGACCATTAACCAGTTGTGTTTTAGGTGCGTATCTTCGGCAAACAAGCATGCATGCATACCATGTGGTGTAAGTGGTGTAATAACGGTCAACTTCATATTTAAGTTATTTTCCCTTTCCCCAAAAATTCCCTTTTTCTCTAGCTCCTCTGTGGACGTGGAAATGAATCGAGGACAGTGAAGGTGAATTCAAAGAGAGTGACAGAACTAGTGCCTTCATTTAGCTTCCTGCTTTTCAACAAGTCACATATTAATTTGTATTTACTGTTTACAAGCACATTTACCGTAGCTGTAAAAATGTGCATACTCAATTGTTAAGCTCTATAATTTTTAGAAGCCACTGATAATTGAACACCTTCTGAATACTTTCTTAACATAATATAATACATTAAAATAACATAACATCAGTATAGTATGTTTATTTGACAGTTATCAGCAATCAGCAGACAAACCTGTAACTGAGTCTGATCTGTTGTCTCTGGTCTGGCACACATTAAGAGAGTCTCTCTCTTAATGTGTGCCACTGTCAGATTATAGCAATGCTCAGCTTCACCTTGTCACACTTTGATATTCATAATCTTCCATTTCTGGTCATGTAGCTCACTTGGGGTGGTCTGAGGGTGAAACACTTGCTCAAGGGCACCTCAGCTGTAGTTATCTTACAGCACGACCTGCTAATTAACACTGCGGCTCAGCAGAAGGACAAATTCTAAAGGATAACACTGTATCCACTTTACATGAGTGCAGGACTAATACATTATTAATGCATAATTAATACAATACAATAATAAATATACAATTCCTTGTTAAAGCCTGGGGGGGCAATAAGAATGTGGTTTGATTTTTTAAAAAAAAAGCTTTTTAAATCACCAACCAAAAGATGTCAAGAGAAAGTCAACCTCCACATAAAAAAAAACTATTTATAATCATGTCATCGCCAAACTGAAGGACTATAAATATGCTCTAAAAGAACGATTTTAGTCGCTTTACTCCCCAGAGAAAGCAGACAGTCTTCTTCTACGGTATTAATGGGACAGACCTTTCAGGGGGAGGGACCTCCTCTGACTCCCATTAAAGACAGTAGCTATAAAGGAGCTAAAGACAAGGTTGCAGCCAGCACTCTGAGATGCACAGACGAAGCAAGAGTGTGTGAAGAAAAAATATATTTAAAAGAAACCCAGAGAAACACTTGCGTGTGACAGTGTGAACGGGAGGTTGAGCCCAGAGCAAAGGAGACAGGAGCACAGGGAAGAAGGAGGAGGGTGAGAAAGAGTCAAAGAGGATAGAGGGAGAGAGGCATCAGAGCGTGGAACAGGTTCTCTCGGCAGCCCTTGCACTCAGCCTCAGCAGACATGCCTAACTTTGCTGGCACCTGGAAGATGAAGAGGAGTGAGAATTTTGATGAACTTCTCAAAGCCCTGGGTAAGCCCTCTCCTGTCTCCTTTCCGCCCTCTCCTCTCCCTCCTCCATAGTCTGAGCTACATCCCTGCATGAGGTTGACTATCCATCATGTACATGTAGAAAAAGGCTTTTCTTGTTCTTTGAGAATGGCTCCCGACTTCCAACAACATTGTATTGTTCAGAGAAGCTCCCTGGGAAAAGAAGGCAGAGATCTACCGGGAGATGCTGTCGAAGGGAAATCCCTCGGCTTTACAGGAGATATGAAGCACTGGATGCTGAATTCCAACCTAAACAGACGTGGTATTGTTACATGAAGAGAGGAGGGGGGCACAACATTATTCATGTTAAGCATTTAAGTAGGGCATGCATTAGCAATGCCAGGGGAGGTCTCTGGAGCCCAGTGTTATTCTCTTGTGTCCTATCTTTTTTCATTCTTTCTCACCCGTCTTAGTCTTAACTGATGATTGTGATGGTTTAGATTTGGACCAGTTTAACTGGGTCATTCAATTGTGTTGCAGTGTTTTCGTCACGCCGGGACTGCTGAAACAGACAGGACACAGCAAAAGGTTGTGTGTCCTTAGAATAATGTAGAAATCTTTAGGGACGAGTCCCAATGTGAGTGTGGGGAGCTGCTTCAACAACTCTCCTGGAACTACTGACACCAAACTGAATTACAATTAGAACTTTTTGGACATGAATGGTCCCTGTTTAACCTCAAACTGGTTGAAAAAGTTGAAACAGTTTTGCACAATTGACAGTCTAATTGTTTGTGCATCACTTCAGCACTTATCAGTGTTCATGAAAGAGAAGTCAAGTGCATATTTGGCTCTGGTTGCAATCTCTCTATAAATACCCCACCCTACTACTGCTTAGTTTATTACTTTAAAGGATAAGGCTGGTGATATTGTACATACATTTCTTATTGTCCACAAATCTAATTAAAAACAAAAAAACAAAACCAACCATTAAATTATCCAACAAGTGTTGCCTTTGTAGTCTGATTTGTAGCTCACATTGCTCCTCTGTCCCATAGAGCTTTATGGTGAACCTGGGAACTCTAGTCTAT